TTTATGAAATAAATAAAATTTTCATTTTGTGATGTGTTCTTGCTTCATTTCCACTTGTAATAAATTTGCTACCTTGACAGCAATATAATAAATGTAATTACTTCGAATTTTGACGAACATAATCACATATGTTTTACATTTAATGATAACAATCTATAATTTTGTTTAAAAAAAGAAGAAAATACTAAAATAAATAAATTTTACCTTTAATTCTTTACAAGTAAATTATGTAACGTATATATGTATGTGTATACAGAAGTGCACATTTATATAATTTCATACCTCGGTGAATTCTTTCATTAATGTAATAAGGTAATGGAATATAATGAAAGTAAAATTTTGTCTCTTCTCTCACAAAAAAAAAATTTTTAAACGTAAATCATATATTTGCTCCATGAGGCGAAAATATTAAATGACATGATTTTTTTACGTCGTTTTGTGAACAATCATGTATTAATTTATTCTCTTGTTTTTTGTGCGTACAAATATATTCAAATTTTAACAAGTTGATCTCACTAGAATCTATATTGAACTAAAACTTGTCATTTCATTTGTGCGAATGAAATGTGAATGTCTATATCGAAATAAAAGAATACAATTATAAATGACTGTCCGGTACAAAAACAAGGTAACTAAGAAAGTATCTTCAATTATCTTTCACTCACTGATAGTCACTGTCACTGAAAAGTTGTAGTTGCTATCGCAATAAATAAAATTTAGATTTGTGTTGATATTTTCGTGTTTTGTTAGTGTTACCAGTTTGTGTGTATTTCACTGTTTAAAAGCCTATTAGTGTTTAGCATTGTAGTGGAACTAAGCTTTTTCAAAATTATAAAATTTCTAATAAGAATAAATTTTTGTGACATCGTTTTCAATTTTGAAATTTTTTACTAATTATTAAATTAGCTTAGTCCCTTTGCAGATGGAGAGCAAATAATAATGTTCTGCTGATTAAAACTCAATTTAACCAACAAATTTGAGTTCAGATCTATTATTTTTTTTTAACAGACCTAAGCTTACATTATATTTTTTTATTTATATGCAATAAAAACTATTTGAGTACAAATAGACACATCCAATTGCTTCATGGCACTCACCTTTCTTTTGTGAAAATCTTTAAACTAAAATACTTCATCTTTTAAAATTTTGAATGAAAAAAAAAAAAACACTTAATTTCAATTTTACTTTTTCTTTTTTTTATTTATTTTATTCTTCGTTTTTATTAATTTAAATTTCATATTAAGGCAGAGAGAAGGAGGTCGGTTTGTAGAGAATCAATTTAATTATATTTCGTTTCTTTGTAAGAAATCGTATAATCTAATTATGGATATAGAATTTCTATTAAAATTAAGGAGAAAATTTTCTTATGAAAATATATTAAACAACCTACTTCTACTTTTGTTTTCTGTAGAAACAAGAAAATGGAAATGTAAAATATTTATGAAATGTTTTAGTTAATTAATTCAGTTCGAAACAACCATAAACTTGCATACAAATTATTTAGAAATTATTTAGGAACACAATATTGTTCTGTCATTTTCAAAAATTTTCAATTTACGTTATGCCTATTTACATTTTATTTGCTCAATATTCCATTACAATACCTTTTTGTTTCATATTTTTCATTAAATTTGTAATTAATCATTCAAAAAATTAGTAATCTTAGATTTTAACATTTGAACCTCTTGCGGAAAAGAATTTTATTATAATTACTATTTAAATCGAATTTTTATAAAAATTTATGTAGTTCGGAAAATTCCAATATAGATTTCCGCAAATAATTTCTAGTGATAGCTTTAGGTTATATAAAGCATAACGTACGTATAAGTAATAATTTCCAACAAAAACATTATTCAATCCAAAATCCCATTTAATATTAATACGAATCTAAAAAGACATGTAAAATGTTACACTCCTTTTGTAATGTTGCGAAAAAAATGTCTGAAATATTGATCTAATATGTTTATATTTTTTTTCTCAGCGTCGAATTTCGAGTGTATTTACCTATCCTTGGCCGTCAGTATTCCCAAGCAATAACTTAAAAATACGTTTAGTTAACCAAATTTTTCATACATATAAAAACTTATATTAAGAATTCTGTTCAATTTGATTTCAATTGAATCAGTAGTCCTAAAAACAATTAGGTGACATCTTGGTAACTAAATAGAGCCTAAAGTATCCTATTTTGAAACAAGTTTATTGATTTTAAATATTAGATGCATTACAATTTTTTTAACAATAAGAATTATAATTAGAGAAGTACAGAAACTAAATTTGGTAATGGCAGAAAAAGTTTTTATAATAGCAGGGAAGCAATCCCAGAAATAATTTGATTAAATCTCAGGTAGCGCGTTAAATTTAAAATATTTAACTTTTACTTGAACAAGTTTAGTGAAAAGGGTCACTGCTACAATAAATTTTGCTTATCGTTGTATAAATTTTTATAATGGCTGCAAGACAGTTTCAAAAGTTATTTGATTACATTTCAGAAAATATAAACAGTCTTCAAATTTTGAAGAATTAGTTTGGCAATATTGAGCAACTATTCTGGAAAAATTTGGTTGTTGCTCTACAAGAATAAACAATAGTTGCATTATGCAAATTTAAAACAAGTTAAAAACAAAGTCGTCATCTTAATAATTATTTAGTCGGAGCTCTATGAATCATTTCGGAAAACTTTCGTACGGATATCACGAAGTTGTGACGGATAACCTTATTTTTTTTCTCGTTTCATAGTAATTATTATAATTCAAGAATCTTAAAGAGAAAATACAAAAAAATTATAATAATTCTTTAATATGAAAGAATGAATAATTTTATGGTTAGTTAATTTCCTGCTTAATTTAATATTATAGAATGAAATTAATTGATTTTTGTTCTAGTGGTAATCAACCGTACCAAAATGATAGAAAAACATAAATCAAATTTATTCAAACCTTAAAAATGTAACACGTAGACAAGAAAGTTATAATAAAAGTAAAAATGTATAAAAAGTTTTGTAAATTAATTACGGTTATAGCAGGAGAGAGAAATTATAAAAATTCTCTTTTCGTTTGTAATCTTAGATTTTGTTTATGATTTGTTTGTTGTAACATTGTAACATTTTGGTAAGTAACATTGTAATCTTAAAAATGACCACATTCAGAGTTTTTACAGATATTGACATACATGTATAAAATTCTTTAGTCAAACTTTTTGTAATATAAGATTTGTTAAATTAATTTTATTTAACAAATAAATTAATTTAAATAGAAAACTCGAATTGCCGACTAATTACATAAGATCCTAATTTTAGAGCTCTCAATTAGAAACTATCACTTTCTTTTCTATTCTGTAAACAGATTACAAAATTTTAATAATCGCAATGTCGCACTGTTTTAAGTCAAATTTTAAAATTATTCTTAATTTAAGACGTTAAGGTCTAACTTCACCGAAAATTACACTTCCAATACTTAAATGTATGAATGATCGAACGAAACTCGCCTACGGTAAAATACTTTTCAAAATACAAAAATAAATTTGGAAAATTTGAAAGTTGTTACCATTTTCTTACAATTTATGGAATATTAAAATTTCTTTCACCATTTGGGAAGAATAATACCTTTTAGTTGTCACATTATTAATAAAATTATTGTTTTTCTTTATCGCCAGGGGGTGTAACAACTTGTTAAGTTTTTGACCTAAACATAACATTATATTATTACATTTTATTATTTCATAATTATTACAAGAAATTTTCCATTTTAACACCCTTGATACATACATATATGCATTCTTATACGAGTATTACATGTAATAATGATAGCCGGCCCAATATAATTTACAATAATGAAAATTATTAAAAGAAAATTTCAAAGAATAAAGAAGTTTGAGTTAATAAAATAGAAACAAGAAACTTCATCTGTTTTTCTTTTTTTTTGGGACTTAAATGTTAATATATTAATTAGTATAAGATCATAGTTAATTATAACTATTTTTCAAAGAAAATATTATAATAACGACGTACATATTTAAGGTTGAACAAAAATTTAGGGACTTTAACGGAAATATGAGATTGAATGTAAAACATGAATTTTTTTTTTTTGCTTTCGTTAATCTTAACAATCTTACATATGTGTACATTAAAGGATAATTTAAATAATTGAATAGTAAAATTAAGAAATCGTACACATAGTATAGAAAGTTTTAGAAATTTAATAATAGCCTATTTATAATATAAATGTTTTGTAATTAAAATTGACATTGATAAAGTGGATTAGCTAAGAGCTTTCAGTTCTCTTAATTTAGTTCATTTAATTATAAGGGTAATGAAATTGAATGTAGATTAGATAAAGATTTTTTGCTTTATAAAAGGATACATTATGGTTTTGATATTTAATTCACATGAAAATCATTAAAGTTATCAAAATTTATTTACTGAGATTATTTAAAAAATATTTTAAAAGATTCTGACTTCTTTAAATTTTTAAATACAACCTTCATGACGCATTCCAAAAGAAATGAAGGCGAGAAATGCCTTTAAACAAGTTCAGTTCTTTTGTTGAATTAAATCACATGTCGTTCCATGGGTATTCGTTACTTAAATATACTTACATATTTACATACATTATACTTTCGTTACAAAATATACTTATGTATATGACGACTTTTCTGGTTGGTTCCATAATTCGTACAAGTTTCTTCCAATGTAGTGTGGTTCCCAAGAGTAATTGCATATTATAGTTTGAACAAATATTATAAATTTTGCATCACAAAACTTTGAGAAATGTTTAAATTTGAAATTTTTTTATTAAATTTTTTGCTTGCCTCATGTATTTTTTCTAGGATTTTAAAACAATACATCAATAACTAAATTACAGATAAAATTTTCAATATAAGAAAATTATACCTAAAATTTTTAATGATATTCGGATGATGTTCGTTATAAAATTATTTACAAATTCATTATAATTCAATTTTTTATAATTAATTTTAATTATTTACTTTTGCTCTTTTTGCAGGTTCTCTTGCATAACGTTTATGAACAATTTTACATCAGTGTACTCAAATTGTCAGTGTAGTCGATTTAATTCAGGTGAGTTAAATTACAATTTCTTTTTTAAACCAATTACGTAAAAATAGTTTTAACCATAAATTTTTCGAATTTCAAATATTCTATGTATTCTATGGTGTTGATAAAGTTTTAACTGAGAAAATTTATAAAAGTTAAAATATTGATTTTGCTGAAATTTATTTTTATTTGGAAATTGTTTAATCAAAAGTAGCAGTTACATCCTATGTGAATGTAAAATTGGCAATCAATTAGCGTTTACATATCGAACTTTATTCAGGGAGTTTATTTAACTGTTAAATCATTAACGAAAGTTGTATTAAAAAATCACCTACGTATCGATTTTGTTTGATATCAGCTCTTATTTGCTATAAAAAAACTATTAAAAATTTCATTAGATTTTATTGAAATCAGGATGATCGAGAGTCTACAATTGTGTTAAACCCTATTTTCGAGTCATATAGAGTTATTTTTAATATTTAATAATATTTAAAATAGTTTTTAATGAAATTATTTATTTTAAGCTTAAATTAAAAGAAAAACATGGTTAAAATTGAAATTTTATAGCACATTCCGCAACATAACAGAAATATCACAATTACGTAACACAAATCTTTGCATTTTTTTCTAATTTTGCGAATTGATCACTGAATTTTGTTGTATGTTATTTGAATCTTTGAATATATAATACAAAATTTAATACTTTAGGCACAACGCGTGTATTTTTACATACCTGAAGTATTTTGTACAGGAACACATGTTTCTAAGCTTTCAAATCATTGGAAAACGTATTTCAGGTAAAAAATTTCATCCCACGTATTTCAGTTTTATGGTGTACTTTTCATGAAATGATAAAAAAATTACAATTTAATAATCAATATCCGCGTCAATAAAATTGCCTATTTTCATTTATAAATGAAAATTTTGTACATAATTTATTAAGGAATACATTTTCTTTTGCAAGAAAATAAAAATGGAGTTTCGTTAATATTTATAATACTACCAGTTTTATTTAATACACTTTTATACTGTACTCCAGAGTTTGTTTGTAGTAAAGTATTTTCAATTACTCTTCTTGTGCAAGTATACACAAGACTAAGCACTATTAGTTGCCGAATTAAGTTATTAAAATCGAATTGAAATGATTAATTTTAATGACAAGTTAAGCGAACTTAATTTTTCAAAATTTCATAAAAATTTGTGGTCAATCATTTTTGGCCATCTTAAAATATGTACCTTTTAGATTTTTTGGCGTGTTGAAATAATTGGGTTATTTTATTTTTATTTCACGAAATCCTGTTCAGTACCAAAAAGAAAATAACAGGATTTAAATAATTTTTTTTTTTAAATTTTGTAAATCTATCCTTGGAAAAGGTACAAAATTTCGTTTTTAGGTTTAGGGCTTATCATATTATAAAAAATTAAATATTTTTATTTTACTTATAAGCTCATATTCCATTTACAAAAAAAAACGCTAGAATTTTTTTTTCGTTGTTAGAGTATCATGCAAAGAGAAATTTAAAAATTTATTTAAATATTGCAAAATAAAAAAAATTTGACTTGCATTTTTTTTTAATTAAGCTTGGAGTACTAGACAATGCTTTTATTTTAAATGTACTTTTAGTTTCCATTGATCCCTAATTTAATTTAACATTTTCAACGAATTTTTTAAATTAAAATAAAAGAGACGTGCTCTAATGCAACAGACATGATTTTTTAATTCTTAAATAAACGTGCACGGAAGAGGATGTAGTCAATCTACGATAGTATGTAGCCTTGCAATCTATTGTGATATAAGTGACGAGTGATGAGTGAAATATAAAGTAAAGAGAGAGGAAATTAACAAAAGAATTTTAAAAAGAATCGCAAAAAACTTCTGTCCAAAATTTTTTTAATTGCAAATTATTAAAATTTCTTCGTTCATAAAATTGATTTAAATCCTTTGTAATAAATTCATGCACTTTATATGTACACTTTATTATACCTGTAAGAGAGTGTGCTGGATTGGGATTTAGATTTGCCCTACCGTTTGTAACCTTAAGAAATAATGGTCTGAGATTTAGACATAAGAAAATGTTTTTGATCAACCCGACTTCTAAGTTATTTTAACTATGTTTTTTCATGTGTTCACCTGTTCGTCCCTGCTAACGATAACTCAAAAACTAATTGACCGAAGCTCACCAAATTGTTACAAATGATTAATATAAGTAAATGCCAAAACCTTATTTAAATAGGATATGGTCGAGGCACTGGTTCGAGTAGCTGCCCTACAACTTCAACAAAAAGTTATTTAACCTTATTTCAGAAATTATTAAAGCAATAGCATCGAAATATGCACAACCAAATATGTTTCAAATAACACAAAAATATATGGGGTTTTTATGTGTGATAGAAATCTTTGAAAATTTTTGAATTCTAGTGGTAGCTGACATTCGACTTCAATATAATATATTTATTAGGTATATATATAAAATATTAATGAGGAAATACTATGGTAATCAAGTATCAAGTATATATAGGCAGGGGTTACAATCGGAAGTATTTAAATATATAAACAATTTTTATTAGAACAAATATGATTATTTTAAAATCATTTAAATATTACCTTTACATTAAAGCGAAGCTCGATCAAATTTGAGTTGGTCTTTATTTTCATCGATCCTAATTTCATTTTCGAAAACATTAAAATTGTTTTCAATGTTAAGAGAGGAGTGTATATCGCAATAGTTTACATTTTCTAATAATGGCGGTATCATAATACAAATGAAACACTATATAAAAAATGATTTGAAGTTACAAATTTGTGTTTCTATGATTGAGAAATCGCAAAAGCAGGAAGTGAGATTCACATTTGAAATATTATATTTTACCTGAATTTATTCGGAAAATGATTAATAAATCTTTCGCGTAACCTTTTGAAATTTTCTATGAAAACCCATTTGAAATTTTCATAATTAATTAATTTCCATGTAAAAAGGAGCCATGTTGAATAATAAACATGTGGAATCTAAAATGTTTTTTTCAGACGAATTCTAAAGCTTTATAATGATGTCAAAAGTAAACATTAATACCTTCGATCATGTGCTGATCACATCATATTTTTTTCTTTTGATTTTTAAAAAAATTTAAAAAACTCTGCTACTTACAAACAAACTACTTTAAAGAACTTTAAACAATAGAATTTATTGCTTATTTTTTTGGACTTCTTGTATACACAAAAATATCCTTTTTCCTGTACAAATTGAATTGTGTTTTAATATTTGTTAAAAATTCCTAAGTGATATGATTTACAAGATGCGTCTGGCTACAGTTCTTGTAGCTATGTTGTATAATATACCAAAATAAATACATATTTACAGGGTGTCTGAAAAGTTCCTGTTAAACATTTTACAGCTTATAACTGCTACATGGATTAAAAAACAACATTGTTGACTGATTAGGGACGTTTATTAGAATAGTAATAACAATATTAAATAAAAAAGTTACAACAAATGCTCAAAATTCGCTCCATAGTTCGATCATATAGTGGTAGGGCGGTCGCTACGAGGACACTTCGACGTGCTCCCCAACTCCTGGCATTATAGACATTATTTTTCTTTTATAACCAGTCGTCCTTACAATTTCAGCTGTTTTCATACCTGACCCGTGTAATTCTATAATATTAATGCGCTTGTTATCGCGATTCGTTTCTGGGCTAACAAAAAATAAAGACACAGTTAACAGGTACTTGGGGTAAAATTGCACGACGAAATCAAATAATGAAACCAAATTAAAAAAAAACCAAAATTATAACGAGAAAAATTAATATTTCCAAAAGTACGGGAACTTTTCAGACACCCTATATTTATATACGAATGTGTATGTAAAAAACTATAAAATTCATTTGATTTAAAAAAATTGTATGAGATTGCAAAAAAATTTTTTAATATTCATTAAATTTACACAAAATAAAATACAAAAGAATTTGTATTTCAATTTTATTACTTAAGAAATAAAATAAAAAATATTGGTAAAATTAAGAATTTTAGGAATACAAGCAATTAATAAAAATTTTCAATATGTATGTATGTGTTACGACAATGTGAAGATAAAAATTAAATATACATATAAGTACCTATATACATAATTTTAAAAATCTCGGAAAACTTTTCATTGTAATACAAACTTCTATAAATATATTTCACATAAGGCATAGATTTATTGATTATGAGCAAGAGTATAAAATTTATGGTAAAATTTACAACTTTATTCATTGAATAAATTTAAAAATATAAAAACAATATCGTATTGATTGAGAAAATTTTTAACGACTCTACTTTGTTTTAAAAGTAAATGTAAAAGGTACACATATAATATGTGTACACATGTGTAGGAATGAAATAAATTATTTGTAACATTAATAAACTTGAAGAAACTATTTGAGTAGTGTCAAAGTTTTCCAATATAATTAGAAAATTATATAAATAAAAGAAAAAATGAAGTTAGAATTCATTTGTGTTGTGAGAGAGTCGAACATTCTCATTGTAATGCTGGTTCGTAGTCATTCTTAGATTCTTAGTCTTAACTTTCGTAGTTTCAATCTTTGGCATAATTTCAAGAAATTTTTTGCCTTTTGAATATTTATAAACTATTTCCGATTTTAGTTCATCATGTCAACAATTGTGATAAGTTTAGAAGAGTAAAAAGGGGAAGGATAAAAGGGTATCTTATTTTACAGAAAACACGATAAACATATTCGAATATGTACAGAATTTCAACTCCTTTTATATCATTCTCTTTCTAGAGTAATAAAATATTTTCACCGAAATTTGTGTGCTTATAGAAACGAATAGAAGAGGGATGAATGTAACAGTGGTTTAAATATTTTTATTGATAAATCTAAATTTTAGCACTTTTCCAAATATTATATTTTTGAAAAAAAGTGCATATTGATTTCACTGTGTCCGCCCGTCCGTCCAGGGACATGTTTACAAAACTGCAGAAAGGCCGTGGCTTCCTTCTCCTATCGCAGCATATTATAGTTA